TCAGCAGGAGTAAACATGTGAAAAGTTTTCTGTCTTTATATTAGAAACAGAACATGGTGGAAATAGTTTGTATTTTGGTAATAGCTTGTCTTTCTTCATATTTTAAGCATTTAAACTCTCTAGTCAAGAAGTCTTTTTCTCCTATTTTCCTTTTGCTGTCAAACGACTGTTTCTTTTGTAATTTCAGAGGTCAGAGCCCAGCTGTTGCTGAATTTAACTTGCTCCTGAAAGCATATTCTTTAGAAACTTATGGTGTTGATCCTCATCCTTGCAAGGTAACTTTTCACTAACATTTAATAAAATGTTCTTTTTACTAACATTTAGTAAAGAGCTATTAATTGAATTGATTTAGCTCTGGTTTTTATCCAGGCACAAATAGGGAGTAATTTATGAAAGAACTTGACCTGGAACTAAATATTATGTTTATGCCTTGGAAGAATATTGACTAGTTGACATTTCTGCATCAGTCAAAGGAAGGGTCTCTCCAGAGAAAGCAGAACATCATAGGAAAATGTAGTAGAGTGTCACGACAGAAGCTTTGATTATACTTCATAATTTCTTTGTATTTAATGCAAAGGTTTCTCTAAATACTCCACATGTGAAACACTTTGCATTTGCGAAGATTTTCAGGATTCAGCATTATTCTGTCTAGAAGGTGCAACGTATTGTTAGTCCTTGGCAGATTAGTTTTTCAAACACCATCAAAATATGCAAATCTTAGGAAGACTAGCAAACCAAAAGTACGGAAGGGATAACTGGATATGCATGTGCATGTTCCTCCAATTTGCTATTTTGCAGTTCTCTAAAAGAAGGTGATTTTAGTTACCAATTCTGATTATCCCTTACACCTGCATTTTTAATTACTTGGTTTTATCTGCATAATCTGCAATGTTTGTTTTTAGCGTTACTTGCTTTGTGTTTTAACTGCTGCCTTTACTTTGGGTTGTATACGATCTCATTTGGTGGAACAGCAGTGCTGTCCACTTAGCTGTTCTGGTGGTGAATGCCCTTAAACAGTCAGCTCTAACATAAACCTGCATTGGATTTCATATATACTTTGCTGGGAATGATGCTCTTCTGCGAAATACAGGGTCTGGTTCTGAGTTCAGTGAAGTCAGCGACTTAGTAAACTTTAGTTCAAAACTATACAGTGGCTTTTCAGAGGGCATACCAGAGACTTAAGCTGACACTTAGGACAGAGTCAAAACCGGCTTAGAATTTCTTCTTTACCTATGTGGCAGGACTTGTAGTAAGGGGGCAGTCAGGGCTTCCCAGCCTATGTTTAAGGATAATTTTTCAGTCTTCTGGAAGTGAACTGGAAAGCAATGTGCTTCCTTGGCTCTTTGTGACGTGCTCATTGAAGTGCTGTGGCTGCTACTCCAGGAGCATCATTGTTTCTGTTCCCCCTTATTTTATCAGTGGAACATAAGGCACAATGAAGTTGACTAACTTTAGCAAGGTGAGGGTCTGGAAGTTAGGATGGACAGGAAATCCAGTTAATACAAAACTCACCTGAATCATTGCTTAAAAACTATAAGCCAGAACTTTTATTGTAGAACTAAACATTTAAAAAATGGTCTTTCCTATCTGAAAGGCAAATATCACCATATATTCTGGTTTGTACTCAGGAGTACTTGCTTATTGTAGTAAATGCTGTCTGTAGTAAATGCTGTCTGTCAGCAGTACTTCCAACAGAACATCTCTCAGAGGAGCAACATATTATGAAATCTTAAAAAATATCAGTGTTGAAGCAGGTATGAATCCCTGGTTTGTAGTTAGCACATTAAGAATGGGACATACACAGAAGTATGTTTTCAACAAAATTTGTACGTATACCTGAGGATTCCCCATTGGTATCAGCTATAGGTAGACAGAAACAAAGCATAAGATGCTGTTCCTCATTTAAATGCCTAGAAATAAATGAGGCCTGTATTGCCGAGAGCAGTCTTTGTTCTTTAGAAATTTGAAGGCAAAGTTTATTTTGAGAAGGAAAACAAAATAGAGGTAATCATTAGCGGAGTAACAATTTATGCTATTAGTAAGAAATACCTCACTGGATGAAGGGAAAATTATATTTCTTTTTTCTCTTTCAAGGACTCAACGGGGATGACTACATTTTTAGGATTCACAGCTGCAGGATTTGTAGTTTTCCAGGGGAATAAAAGAATTCATTTGTTAAAATGGTAAGCATGTGATGGAAGACTAGATTAATATTCAAGAGTCTTTTCTCCTATGTCCTTCCTTCTTCCTACTATCTTCACCTGGATTTGTTATCTTTAAGGTGAACCATGCGAATATTCCCTCTCTTGCCCAATCACATACCTGTTTTAAAGGATCTTAGGTGAGAAGTAGCATAATAATAATTTGATCTTGTTCTTCCTCCAGTGAAAATTATCCCACAGGGTGCATTAGTCAATATAATGCACAAATGCTAAAATTGAGTAAGTTGCTTTTTCAACTATCCTGTAAATCACCAGTGAGGCTTATTAGCAGAGGTGTCTGGAAGAGTTTACAAGAGTCCACCTGCATCTTTATTTGACTGTTGGAAATGTTGCTATTTCCTCATTTAAGAAACCTCAATTTGAAAACTAGAGAAGAACTTATTTGGTAAGCAGAGAATGAGGTGAGAATGCCTTTGAATTTTTATTTTTTAGACTCTTTTTTTTTTTAAGAAGTGGACACTTATGCAATTGTCCTTAGTTTGTCTGGCTTTTCTTTTCTGCTCCTGTAAAACATTTGACTTAATTGGGCAGCCTCAGCCACGTGAGAAGGAGAGGTAAAATTGAGCTCCTGCAGGTGATGTAGCAGCAGCTGGCCGTACCCTCAGCAGTATGGGGTGCAGAGTCAGTACAGTTGTGCTCAGATGTTGATAATCTCATTTTAGCCCTGCTGCTTAGCAGATGCCAACAGTAGTTACTTAGATGTGGCTCCTCCTCCTCAGCGCTCCCAACCTGTCTTGTGGGAGGAAGGTGGACAGAAGGGGAAGAAATGGTGAGGTGTTTTTTTTGTGTAGAGCTGGAATCTTTGCTGCATATCCATAGAAACCTCCCTGATAGTTGAATAACCTGAAATCCTGAGAATTGTAAAGTCAGTGTAGTCCTGTCTGTACGATTCGGTTCCCTGTAGAGCTCTGGGGACATGTCTGTCAAATACCATACATTTGTGATCCTGGATTTGTGCTGTAGTTTCCCTAAGGTTAATTTCAGGTAGCCCTAGTCACAGTGCTTTGGTGGTTTGTGCTTTTGGCATAAAGACAATGTAACTGTAATGTCAGTTCAGCGGTGCAGGGAGGAGAGAATAGCACTTGCCAAGCAAGCATCCGTTGTACTGTGGGAAATGAGTTTCATAGTGCTTAGTTTTTCATGTTACTTAAGGATAACTTGTTCTTTTGGAGATCTCAGTGTATTCATTTAGGCCATTGGCATGTAAACCAGATACAAAATTAAATAGTGATAGAGGAGAAGCCATTAAGCTGCCTCCGTGTTAGGATGGCCGTTAGGAGGTCAATCTGGTGAGATTTATCGGAACACCATTTACTGCTCCTTCAGTTCTGAGACTTAGAAGTGAGTGCTAGCAGCTTTAACTGGTATTAGCTGAAATTTGCACTACACACTAAAAATCCAAATTCATATTTGAGATTTTCTTTTCAATGGAAAAGCTTTCTCAACTGGAATGTTTTTTTGTTGTTGTTTTTTTTTTAATGTTAAAGCAAAATGCTTGTTCCAAAGTTTCAGAGATAGCATTGTCCTTGCGTCCAGAATCATTCCCATTTCAACCATCTGACACCCAAAATCTTTAGAGAAGTTTATGACAAACCACAGTGTGTCCATTTTAGCTGTGGTAATGACAAAATTTCCATTACAATTTAAGCAGAAGCATTGTGTTGCCTTTATATGGTGCACTGCTATTCCATATGTAGATTGTGCTTTCAACACTGGTTGAATTAAATTTTGACATAGGTTTGCAACTCACAAGGCCCCAGTACTAAGTGCTGTCAAACATTTTCTTTTTCTTCCTGTTGTGTACTGTCTGTAAGTGGTGAGTTACTAAGATGTGTGATATGAAACCACAAATAAATAAGAATAGAGATAAGAGTATTATCTTTACCTCAATTTAAATACATTAGATGTTCCAAGGTTTTAAAATACGAGGAATTACAAACTGTGTAATAAATAGAATGTAAACATAAGTTTCTGCCTGCTTTTAAATTCCTCTTCATTTTCCAGCAGCCAAAGTTAATTCTTTGAAGTTACATAGGGATATAAAAGAAATACATTAGGCTTATGTTCTCTACTCTAAAGACAATAAGAATAATAAATACTTTTACACTAGAGGTTATAAGACTTTTTTTTGAGGCTTTTTGTCATTTGACAGCCTGCTTGACTGTGGGAATCAGGGAAACTTGCATGCAAGTTACTTTTCTTACCTGTAGATCTGTTTATTTTTCCTATACTTAAATGATTTTTCTATTTCTAGGTGTGATGTCTATAAACTGAAATTTGAAGGGAAGACTTTTTATGTGTTTGGAGCTCAGAAAGAGGTCAGGTTTAATATTTTTACTGCACTTCTGTGTTTGATTTAGAATCAACTGAAACATAACATTTTTTAAAATGTAACTTCTAAACAATCACTAATTCAGCTTTGTATTGTAACTAAAATATAGAATATGAGTGAATGTGAATATTGCTGTCGTCAAAAGAATGTGTAATTTGCAAAGGGTTGAGGCATTTCTCACTTAACATTCATGCAATGCTGTGTTGATTGCTCATAGTTTTGGTCATCCATCTAGTCAAGTTTTAAAGGATTTTAAAGCTCTAAAGCTGTACCCACCCACAAAGTATGAGCGACATCTGTATATGATTGAAAATTCAGGTGAGCATTGATACTCACATCAATGTGAGGTATTTTTGGCTAATTACAATCATCTCCTCAAATCTTGGTCCGCTGAATAGACTGGAATCTGTCCTAGGTAGGAGTTCTATCATTGGGCTCTTGCCATTGAAATTGTAGAGATTTTTTGCCTACAGCATGCTATAATCAGTTCTTCCTCTAGGGCAGCATGATACAGATAAGATTATGGCTTTGAATGCAATCTAGGTGAGGAATAGGAAATGGAGGAAGGAAACAGTGCCAGAGGTATCAGGAGCTGTTTGTGTGGTTGCAAGGAGAATTTGATGGTAGGACATAGGGAACAGGAAGAAGTGGATGGTAAGCAGTGCAGCAACTGTGCAATGTCAAATATTGAATGCAGAGACTTTCCTCCTTTGATTTTGGCTTGAATACAGTTGGTACAGATTTATTCTACAAGCCACTTGTATATATGCTGTTCTCTGCCCCCTCCAAGCATCCCCTTTTATTTCGTAAACAGTTGCCTGGACAGTTTAAATGTCAGCTGCGTATGGGTTGTAATTCTGTGGGCGAACGACAGACTGAGGCTACGCAGGAAAACTTGGTCTTCAGAGTATCTGGTTTATGGTGATGCTGTCAGATACAGCTACTTCAGTCTTCGAGAATTCAACATTTTCACTACTTTTATTTGCCTTCTTTTCCTTGCACTTAGAAAAAGGCTGTGCTGTCATTCCATACCTCTACACCAGCAGCCTGCAAGCATCTTTGGAAATGTGGGGTGGAGAACCAGGCTTTTTACAAGTATGTAAACCTGAAGTCATTATCTGTACTAAAAGTAAAAAAAAGTGCGTGCAAGTAGAAGATTGTTCAATGTGAAATGTTCAATTTCATTAAAAGAATTCAAAATACAAACAGAAAATATGCAAGTTAATGGGGAATGTTATTTCCTTTCAAGACAGTATTATAGATTGTTTAAAATTTAAATGAGGTAGGAGGGTCTTGGCAGTGAATAATTACACTTTTTCCAACACACTGTTTTTGCTGCTGTGTAGTGTGATGTTGGATGGACACAGTGTCGCACTTGTGTCTGGGAACATAGTTGTTAATCTTAGCCCTGCTGTTGAATACCTTGAGAATGGAGGAAGCAATGTGTTGTGCTTGATTCTCTGGGCTCTTCTGCCAGTAGGTAATGTTCCTGCACTTGAAATCCAAGATTTAGTAAGAGTTGTTTGGAAAAAAACCAAATCTCTGCAGATTTAAAAAAGGAAAGAAAATGTTCTTAGATACACTTTGAAAGACACCAGCCATCTTGTTGTTTGGTTGTGGTGTTTTTTTTTTTTTTAAAAAAAGCCTGTAAATTGACAAGAAAAAAGTAGTATCTTCCTTCCTATACCCTAAAAGAGAACCTGAAAATAATTCCTCATTAAAAAACTCTTAGGCATTCTTTCTGCCCTCCATTGACTTTGTAAGATCTATTTATTCACACTTCCCTTTAGGCATGTAGCTTTTATTCTTGCTATTTAATCTCTCCTAACAGCATCTTGTGTATTTTATAAAAGTTATTGTTTCTGTGTTGGAGCATAGCAACACCAGGGGGGCTGCTGTAAGGGTAAATAAGCACTAAGTGGGAAGAAAGTATCTTCTAACATGGATGTTAATGACCTGCTTTATTTTGGAGAAGATTCATTCTTTTGTTTCAATACTGATACAATAGTATATCAATATAATCTATTCAACTGATATATTCAATGAAGAAACAGCAAATATGAGCTGGCACAATACAACTGTTAATTCTCTATGTTAACATCTACTGTGTTTGAGACTGAATTAATAAAAATATTATCAGGAAGTGTTTTCCATTGGAAGTACATGTAAGTGGGAAAACAGCGCATGGTGTTTAAGTGGTTTTATTTTATATTATTAGAAATAAATATAGAGAATAGGAAAAAATTCCTACCCAAAGGAGAGAAATCAGTACTTGAATTAAAGATGTCTGAGGGAGACTCATAGGAATATCATCTCTCTGCTCTTACTATTAAATGGTTGTAATATTAATGGTTTGGGTTTTGGTCACAAATACATGGTTGTGGTGGGTTTGGCCTTGGCTAGGTGCCAGATGCCCACCCAGCTGCTCTCTCACTCCTCCTCAACAGGTCAAGGGGAGAAAATAAGATGAAAACCTCATGGGTTGGGATAAAGACAGAAAGATTACTTAGCAATTACTGTCATGGACAAAACAGGCCTGACTTAGGGAAGGTTAATTTAATTTATTTCTCACTTTCTTACTCTATTTTAAAGTGTCAATAAAGACGTAAGTAAAAACACCCCTTCCCTCTTTCTTCCCAGGCTCAACTTCACTCCTTTGTTTCTGGCTCCTCTATGCCCTCCTTGTCCCCAGCAGCACAGGGAGATGGGGAATGGGGGTTGCAGTCAGTTCATAGCAGTTTCTCTCTGCTGTTCCTTCCTCCTCACACTTTTTCCCTGCTTCAGTGTCCTTCATAAACTGCTACAGCATGGGTCCTTACCATGGGCTGCAGTCCTTCAGGATAAACCTGCTGCAGCATAGGTTCCTCTCCGTGGGCCACAACTCCTGCCAGGAGCCAGCTGTGGGCTCTCCACAGGCTGCACCTTCCTTCAGGGCATGTCCACCGACTGTAGTGCAGGGTCCTCCATGGGCTGCAGGGTGGGTATCTCCTCTGGTGTGGGCCTCCATGGGCTGCAGGGGGACAACCTGCTTCCCCGTGGTCTTCTGCACAGACTGCGGGGGAATCTCTGCTCTGGGACCTGGAGCACCTCCTCCCCTTCTTTTTTCTCTGACCTTGGTGTCTGCAGGGCTGCTTCTTTCATGTTTTTTTCTACTTTCCAAATGTCTTCAGGGCACTACTGTGCGGTTATTTCTTTAGCATGATGGCTTAAAATTATGCTTGCCTGTTTCAATTTTGGTGGGTTTTAAAAGAGGACTACTTTTGTAAATGAAGATTGGTAGTGATATTCAGTGGAGAGCAACCTGGCTGATTGGAAAATAGTAATGGTTAATATGCAGAGTGCAGAAAAATAACAGCAATCCTCCAAACATGAAACTGAAGCCAAAGCAATCTGTAGCTAAAGGCTTAGGATAGTAGTTTTGAAACAGCAAAAGTTTTCATACATTTCAGAGAAACTGAGCTGTGTAGTGTGGACTGTCAGTTACTTAACTGCGTTAGATAAATCCTGTCTGTTTATGTTCTGTATGATACCAACAGGGTATTCTAATAAGATTATAATAGATGTAACCAGGTTGTGTAAGTATTGATGATAATGATACTTTGCCTTAATTAGATTTGGCCCTCTCTTCTGCTTAGAAGAGCTTGAAACTTGGAATTTAAGATAAGGTCATAGTCGCTTGGCATGTCTTGAAAAACAGAGCTTTAGTCCTCTCTCGATCCAGGCCCAGGGTTGACTCTTGTGATTATTTTCAAGTAGATATAAATCATAGAAGATTGTCTACTAGGGTCTGGGAATGAGAGACTCAATACGAAATCAGTTTGCCAGTTTGAAGGAGATAGCGTGTCTGAAGTACTCTTCCATGATCTTTGTGATAAGACTGTGATAGAAGGTTGCTGTGTACTTCTTGATTAGACAGAAGCAGTACGATATGATGTGGGCTACTAAGAAGTTGATTGTATAGACACATCAGAAATGCAACTCCTTTGGGAGACAAGTGTTAGCACTTTTCTATTATTTCTTTGTTTTACTAGTGGAAAAGTGGAAATAGCTGTATGTTCCCACAAACAAGGTGCTATTAGGGCAAACTTGGGGTTTTGGTGTACCACAGTCTTCCCTACATCCTGTGAATGAAAGTCTCTAGAGATGCAGCAAGTGTCTGCAATTTATTTCTTGCTTTCCTGTCCAGGTAATCACTTCTTTTATGTTCAGTCGTTATCTGGTGTCTGAGTTGTTTTATGTACACTTTATATTCTAATTTATATAAAGGCCTTAAAAAAAGTTGGAAAGCCCAATTATTGAGTATTACTTTGTGGTATAAAAATAACAAAGTTGTAGTTTGCCTTGTTCATTTTTGCTTATCAGGTTCCTTCTGTGCTGAAAATGTGACAGCCTCTGTTCTTTTTCTTCAAGGTATGCAAAATCCAGTCAGATCAAGACCATGTCCAGCAGCAAGATATTTTTTAAAGGCAGTAGATTTCGATATAGGTGGGTGTTATGCTGTTTCTTTTTCATGGTAAACCATTTCAGAATGTAAAAGAAAAGGTTGGTAATTATGGTAAATTGAGGCCTTTTCCTTTTTGAAGACCTGTTCACACCTAATTCAGGTCAGAGTTTGAAAGATTTTCAGTTGTCCTTTTAGTGTCCCTTATAAAATAAATGGGAGGCTTCATGAACACTTCTGTCAAAGAGCAGTTTCACCAGAACAGGGCTCCGCTTTTTGTGCAGCTTCTGTGAAAACAAGGATGCGTGGCCAGTGCAGAGATTGTATGCCTATTGGAACTGGGCAACTCTGTACGACAGGTACATTAGCACTCCTAGCATTCTACTAAAAAAGGTTGCTTTTTCTTCAGTAGCTTTGCAGACAGATGATCAGCAGGATTTTTAATCTGGCACATTATATATCCACTATGTAGGATTTTTTTTTTTTGCCTTTTCCTTTTCTTCTTTTGAATGTAACTTTAATTGTTCATGTATGTATAGTGCTTGGCATGTAATGAGCTCATCTTAGTATTCGCTTGAATATTTATTTCATGTTTTAATGCAGTGGAAAAGTAGCCAAAGAGGTTGTGGAGGCAAGCTCTAAAATCCAGAGAGAACCTCCTGAAGTTCACAGGTATGTCTTGACATTCAGTATTAAAGTTTAAGGACTAAAGGGGGTTATTGTTCTCTACAGAGAA